CCAGTGCAAGCATAGGAGGGGGGGGAGAGAGGAGAGAGAGAGAGAGAGAGGCCGTGTCTGTGGAACCCCAACCATTTGTGCATTAAGCGTGAATCGCTGCAAGACAAAGAGCATCGTGATTGGTCGGTTTCACTATGACCAATCAGTTTTCATTGTGGGTGGGCTTTTTTCATCTGAACCAAATAACCAAGTTCAGTCTATTCCAAGCGTCACAGCAAAAGGACCCCCCCCCTCCTCACACCCCCCCACCCTCCCCCTACATATAAAACCAGCACTCACTGGTCTAATGAGAATAAAGTAAATGACAGGGTTTAATGGAGCTGAATTTCATATTGCAGCCGCGACAAGAAAGGGGCCCCCCCCCCCCTCCCTCGCCCCCCCACCCTCCCCCAACATATAAAACCAGAGCTCACTGGTCTAATGAGAATAAAGTAAATGACAGGGTTTAATGGAGCTGAATTTACTGTTTTATATTTTATGTTGTTGTCATTCATTCATTCATTCATTTAAGGTGTTTTTTTTGTCACTAAATGTGAAAAAAAAATCCAAACTTTTTTGTATTAAGTTGGATACATTTTGAATAGAGAGTAAAAGTAATCTACATATATTTACTTCAACAATACTTGGCTCTCCCACAGGTGTTTTTAAAACACTATTTTATTTACAGGTGTTTTTAAAATACTATTTTATTTATTTAATTTTTTCGTTTTTGCAGGTTTGTTTGACTTCATTCAAAAACATGAACACACACTGATGGACCTCAGACCTCAGTCACGAATCCCAGCCTGACAGACGGAGCCTCTCCACAGTCCAGTGACCGAGCTGCAAGTGGGGAGTGGGGGGATGGTGGGGGGGGGACCTCAGCATCTTCACGGTCATTTCCTCCCATCATCACCATATAATCCAGTGCATGTCAAACACACCGAGTCCGTCTGTTTGTATTATCACTGTCTTAATTTTTAATTTATTTTTTGGTACAGTTTCCCCGTTTGTTTGTTTCCCTCAGCAGCAGTGAAACATACGACACAGTCGGACTGTGACTGAGAATTAGAGGCAGAGCAGCAGAGACCGAAGTGATGGATGATTAAACGGTGGATACTGATGATAAAAGTCAGTTTTATGAGCAATAAAAACAGTGAGATGTTCCATTAAAAAGTCAGACTGAGGGCAAACGGGTGGAAACGATGGGGATAAATGAGATGAAACCACACTCTCCATGTGGAACTCCAACAAACGTCTCATTTGGCCAGAAATGAAAATTCACTCTGAGGATCAGATCGTTTTTTTTTTTTTTTACAGCACAGTCACCACCGTCTCTGTTACAGAACACAAATATAACAACTGGACAAATCAAAGCATCAAAGCAAATACTGGAAAGTTTTAATTCAAGTTTTAATTCAAGCGTAATCCCTGCTCGGGGATTCGAACCCTGGATTACGCGCAGCGCGGACGCAGCTCGGGTCCAACTCACCTTTGTGCATTTCCGCTCAGGGTGTGATTCTGATCCAGACTAAAAACGCCCCCCCGCTCTGTCCATCTCCAGGTAAACAGCCTCACAAAATCCCACTTTTACTTCAGCGACGGTAAATCCATCAGGCGGAGCCGCGCACGGGCAGCGGCGGCGGGAGC